ATGGAGTCAGCTGACTATGCCGGGGCGCCGGCAACCACAGCCACTCGGTCTTGGAAGGGTTGAGTCTGAGTCTGTTCCTCCCCATCCAGACCCGTACGGCCTCCAGGCAACGGGTCATCACGTCAAGGGCATCGTTGGGGTGGCCTGGGGTGGAGATGTACAGCTGAGTATCATCAGCGTACTGATGGAACTAGATTATTTTTAAATGTGTATCTGAATGTGTATCTGAATGTGTATTTAAATGTGTATCTGAATTGCCAGCTTTCCTCTTTTGTGACTTCCAATATGTATTTCTTTTGAAGATTCTAATAACATAGCTGTGAATCAGTCCAGATGCCAACTAGAAAATGAAAACATTCTAAAGGTGATCACTGATTTATATTTCATTTATTTATTTATTAAATTTATTTGCCACCCATCTCACCACAAAGTGACTCTGGGCAGCTTACAAAGTTAAAACCAATAAAACAGTACAAATGTAAGTATAGCAATAAAATTATACGTTATGATAAAAATATGGGGAGGGAAGTAACAAGATGTGCTAGTGGTGAGGTGGGATCTGCTATTAATCTACCAACTATCACTAATTGTAGCATTCCCCATTGGGGTCCCAAGCCATCTGGCAGAACAGTTTTCAGGTCCTTATGGAATGTCAGGAGGGAGCAGTGTGGTGGCCTAGAAGTGAAGATGCACTTGCCCCCACTCAGAAGGTTGAAAGTTCAATGTTAGGCAGTTGCAGAGGTTTCTCTGTCAGGGTACAAAGAGAAAATATCTGCTGTGAACTCCATGTAGATATCAGGCAAGGCATCCAGCCAGTAAATGCTCAGCTCCATTTAGTCGCCTCAATTCCCCCTCGAATAAAGGAATTAAAGGGACATTAAAAAAAAGAAAAAGAAAGGTCAGGAGAGTGGGACCAGATCTCAGCCTAGGGGGTAAGATGTTCCAAAGGACAGGTGCCACAGGAGAGAAAGTACTTCTGGATCTCACCAGCCAAAATTCTTTGACTGACTGGATCTGCAGCATGCCTCCTTTGGAGGTGCAGATGGGGCAGGCCTGTCCCATTGGGTTGAGATGATTCCTCAGTAATATATATAGTATATTCCTCTTTATTTTTTCACATGTAAATCTGAAATAGTTACTTAATATATTATTAAACAGGAAACAACACAAGAAGCCACTGAAGCAACTACTTCCCGAAGAACAAGATCCAGTGAAACAGGTATATAAATCTGTTATGTTTTGTTTCAGAGTCATTTGAATATTCAAAGTTAATAATTGACTAGTAATACAATTGTATACATTGTGTGGAAATAGAGTTGTTTATTGGTTGGCTGGCTTCTGATTGATATCTGACTTCTCATACTCTTTAATACATTGGCTATTGGTCTCAAATTTAACACTAGGTGTTTAACTTGTCTGGCTAACACAGCGTGTTGTGGAGATACGGCTAAATGAAAGATATACAGCTTTGTTTATTCGACTGTATCCAGAATATTATTTATCCTATAGATCAATTTACTTCGCACTGTTCCAGCTGGTTTAGTAAAAAGCAAATTGTACTAGAAACATTTTAAATCTAGTTAAAAACATAGTGAGATATAGTTCAACTTTTATAATTTGTTATACCATTACTATTGTCAAGTAGAAGCTTTTTGTAATCTTTATAAAATAATGTTGAATTTTAAAAAAATATTTAGGAATGCTTCTAAAGATAGCAATCCAATGAACAATTTCCCATTATAATTTGGGAAATACATTGAAAATATGTAACTTTTTTTACATTGGGATGTCAATAGATGTCTTAATGAGCTGTTAGTATTTTATGCTAACATTTTAGGTAGTACTGGTGATTTTCTTTCAGAATATGGAAAGAAGATTCTGTCCTCAGAATGATCGAAATAAGACATAGCAATCACCTACACTTTCTGAAGTTTAGGAAATGCATAGCAGAGTTTCTTCATTCAATTCTTTTCTTACACAAAATCAGAGATTTGGTAATTTGCTTAAGAGAGTTTTTTCCAACAGAAGAAAGTGCAACAGAAGAAGATATGAATTATGAAAGACAAAGAAAAAGGCAGAAATCTGACAGTATTTCTCTTACATTTGACGAAAGTCTTAAATGGTGTGTAGTACATTGTGAGCGAAGCAACAGCAGCAGCTCAATCAATTCCTCGCCAAGTCCAGTAAGTAGATACTAGTTTGAATTTTTAAACAAGAAACTTAACTATGTTAAATCTGTACCACTGAAAGTAAGTGATAATAGCATGAGAAAATGTATTTTAACCTGACATGTCAAAAAGAAGAAAACTTCTCAGTAAACATGCTAATTTTTATCTGTAGAATTTCTCCATCAGAAATAGGAGAGTATTAAATTAACATCCATATTCTAAGACAGTAAATGGCTGAGAAAATTTTTTCATGAAGCGAGAGGCTAAAAGGCCTCTTAGGAAATATTAGAAACAATTAGCTCTCATGTATAGTACTGTATATAAGAGGAAAGAATTTCCCCTTTGATATTTATTATGTTTTTACCCCAATTCTGTTGCATTGGAATATACCCACCAAAAAGATAACAGAATAACAGAATTGGAAGGGAATTTGGAGGTCTTCTAGTCTAACCCTCTACTCAAGCAGAAAACCATATGCCATTTCAGACATACTTGTATAGTCTCTTCTTAAAAACTTCCAGTGTTGGAGCATTCATAACTTCTGGAGGCAGATTGTTCCACTGATTAATTGTTCTAACTATCAAGAAATTTCTCCTTAATTCTAGGTTGCTTCTCTCTTTGGTTAGTTTCCATCCGTTGCTTCTTGTTCTGCCTTCAGGTGGTTTGAAGAATAGGTTGACCCTCTCTTCTTTCTGGCAGCCCCTTAGATGTTGGAACACACCTGTCATGTCACCACTACTTCTTTTCATTAAACCAGACATAACCCAATTCCTGAAATCATTCTTCATGTTTTAGCCTCTAACCCCCTAATCATCTTTGTTGCTCTTCTCTGCACTCTTTCTAGAGTCTCAACATCTTTTTTACATCATGGTGACCAAAACGGGATGCAGTATTCCTAGTATGGTCTTACCAAAGCATTATAAAGTGGTAATAATACTTCATGTGATCTTGATTCTGTCCCTCTGTTAATGCAGCCTAGGATAGCATTGACTTTTTTGGCAGCTGCAACACACTGCTGGCTTATATTTAAGTGATTATCCATTAGGACTTCCAAGATCATTCTAACTGTTACTATTATTAAAATAATCATTTTGATGTATATGTACTATGACTGTTAGCTTTCATAGTTTGAACCCTCTTTTTGTGGATTAATTTACATAATTTGTAGGATGGAATTACCACTGTGAAATTTGTTGTTGGTAATCTGAGTTGCATATTTCAAGATGCTGTGTTTTGTCCACCTCCACCCACTACATGTTTTCAAACTTAAATATTCTTGTCCTACCTGTTTTTATCTGTGCTGTTTCTTAGGGCCTTCAGCAATTTTAACTGCAGTGTATTCTTAGCTAATATTACCGTATATACTCGAGTATAAGTCGACCCGAGTATAAGCCGAGGGACCGATTTTCCCACAGAGAACTGGGAAAAATTGGTGACCCGCGCATAAGCCGAGGGGGCATTTTGGCTGTTCCTCCCTGGCCGCCGCCCCACCCCCGC